TATATATAATTTTAATGAGCACCTTGAAGTTGGGAAGATCAATACTAACTAAAGAGAATCCGATGATTTCTTATATAGTTGTCACTCAGTTGACCTATCAACTAGATTTATCGATATCCAAAAGGATTTCATTGACCAACATGCAATCACACATATGCATACAAAATCTTCATAGTTATGATTAGGGGTGTAAACGAGCCGAACACGAGCGAGCCCAGACTCGGCTAGTGTTCGGCTCGTTTATATTTCGAGCTCAAAAAGTGTGTTCGTGTTCGGCTTGTTTGCTTATCGAGTCGAACACGAGTCGTTCATGAACAAACAGTCGTTTTGACAACCCTAATTTTGTAGTCATAAGATATTAAGAATTGGGGCAAGATTTAAGACATCATTTGAATATAATATAATAATTTGTATTTTATTTTCATCATTAATACTTTTAATTGATTAAAAATCTTTGTAGCCTTGTAGTCAATTAACTTTTTTTAAAATACTTCTCATCAAAGATATATATATAAATGATTAGTAGTATTTCGAGCCAAAACGAGCCGAATACGAACGAACAAATCTTTGTTCTTGTTGTTCGTGTTCGGCTCGTTAACTTTGAGAAAGAGCCGCAAGCTTCTTAACAAATCGAACACGAGTTGTTCAGGAACAACGAGCCGTTTTGACAGCCCTAGTTATGATATATAAGAAATGTGCTACTCACACATGCTTGGAATATGACAAAAATTTATATGCAGCTTAATAAATGTAGTCCAAGGAAAGAAAACATAAAAATTATAATATTTAATCAAATATGCAAGAAGTTTTGTGACAACAAATTGAAGAAGCTAATTACTTCATTACGAGCAAAAAATGATACATATTACAAAACAAATTAAGATCAATAAAGTAGCAAGGGCGTGATTGAAATGTTTCAAAATAGCTATGAATCAACTATAAATAACAGTTATTAATGCTTTTAACTAGGAATGACACATTTATCTTTTAAGAAAAAAAAGTTACTTACCTCGATGAATCCAAAAAAGACACTAATTAGTCTTTCATTAATTCAAATAATACTGATGAGTGGGCTCTATATAAATTAAAATAAAAATAAATATAATTGTGCGATTAATCATAATTATTCATTAAATTAGGTGTAACCTAATTAACATTTAATAATAATAATAATAATAATATTATTATTATTATTATTATGATTATTATCATTATTATTTTAAATCTTTTTTATTATATTTTTAAAAGATATAAATTGTGAACTTAATTAAAGTTAACTTTAACTAAAATAATTAAAACAATTTGTACACTATATAGATGAATATATATAAAATTACAATAATTTAATAGAAAAAAAATAATAATTAAGGAAGGGAAGGGAGGGGGAGAGAGCGTCACCTTCCTCAAAGGTCTTGGATATGAGCTTAGTGGAAAGAGGAGGAAGGTGGGAGGTTTGGAGGTCTTTGTGCGTGGCGAGCCCAATGTTGTCTTCCCAGCTAGCCTTAATAACTACTGTATCACAAGGATTCGGTCACCAAGGCGATGGTTTTGGGTGAAACAGTGAGAAAGGGAGGTGATTCAGAGACTACGTGAAGAGAGGGCTGTGAAGTTAGATCCTTGCAATCCATATAAATAGAAGAGAAGAGTTAGTGTAGTAGATCGAATCAAGACAGGGATAAGGGAAAGTAGGAAAGAGAAAAGGAAAGAATTGTGGGAGTAAAAATATGGAAGGTGGCAGCGGAGTGATCGAAGGAAAGATGGAGAAAAAGAATTTTTGCATGATTTATGTGATCAATGGTGGCACGAGAACGATTAGGAGAGAGAGAAAGTTTTTTTCGATTCTTACATAGTCCCCAAATTTATATCTTACTTCTGAAATAATTGTGGGTATTTTATGATCATCTTATCTTTTACCTCCCAAGTTGCTTCTCGCTCTTTCTGATTCTTTGATGGTACTTTGACAAAAGGTATTAACAGACCATGAAGTTGTCGAACTTCAAGCTTCTGTTTGGGGCAGCTGCAGCTTCTCAGCTTTTCAGCTGCCGCCGGGCTGCCCCCGGAGTGTGGGAAAGCTAGCCGCCTGTTTATTACAGTTGTGTGAAAACAGTTGTAGGAAAATTGTTTCTTGAACAATGACCATCCTTTTGGTTTTCAAAGCCAAACTTCAGACGCCAACAAAATGAAGGATTTTTTTTAATACTTAACACACATACCATTTTCTGGTTTTCTTA